TGTAGCTTGACCCATAGCAAACCTTACTTCAGCCTCTGTAAGGTAAATAATAAACACAGAGTTTTATAAATGATAATACTAACGATCATCATCTTGTATCCTGATGAATGATGAAATCTGGTCTATTGTTAATCCATTATTTTTTGGATAAATACTGCTTATTGCTACTGTAAAGTTCTCAAATAGTTGTTCACTAATGAGATCATTCATGATATTAAATCTACCACATGCCCTGTTTGAAAATGCAGGTAATATTAAGCGAATTCCACGGGTACTATAGTCACCTAATTTAATGAGACATGATTCAATGAATATTAATATTAATATTCACTTCTAAATTGTGCAGTGTTAGGTGTAGCTCGTAGAATTATTGTTGCATTTTCAGATAATACTCCTCCAGTTAGTACAGCACATATTTCTACAGTTCCTTTATTCTCAATCACATCATATGTTCCTCTCTCTAATGACAGCACACCAGCTATGCAATGAATAAAATATTTTCACATCTCTCCTCAATTATTATACTACCTGTTACAGACAATGTTGTTCAGATACAGAGAGATTTTCAAACTGCTACTATCACCATTATTGATGATGACAGTAAGTTATACCGTAAACGTAAAAATTTTCGTGGTGTAAATTTTCGTGTTTTTTGCAATTCTTTCATAAAAATTAATTTTCGTGCATTAAAAATTTCGTAGTAGGCGTTACCCAATCTTATTAATTTATTAACCACGTGGCAACATGGCAACACCTGCAGAGATGCCTACCTCATGTGTACCTTCACTATCTTTTCAGTTATCAGGGGTTACCATGTATATAAGGAGATCTGGGAAGCAGAGATGCTGAAGTGTGAAAGAGAGACGAGTAATATTCATGGTCAGTATGTGTGGCTGTCACGTGGCCTATTGAATTAACCACCACACCTTTGCATTAAAATTTCGTGGATCTGTGTGGCCCACGAAAAAAACGAAAATTTATCCGCCACGAAAATTTTTACGTTTACGGTATAACTTACTGTCATCATCAATAATGGTGATAGTAGCAGTTTGAAAATCTCTCTGTATCTGAACAACATTGTCTGTAACAGGTAATATGATGACTCTCATTGCTTCATCTCCCTCAATGATATTATCATCAATACTAGTGATAGGAGTGAATAGAATATCATTCAGTGTATTATTAATGTTGTAGGTTAATCTTGGAACAGTAGAATTAAGGAGAAAATCACTACCTATAATCATCAATATCAAGCGACTACACAAACATGCTAATACTAACCACTTGTAGCAGTCCCAGATATGCATCTCAATCGAACTGGGCTTAAACGACCCTCTGGAAAGCCTCCAATGTCTATGCCACCAGTCTGATCTCCTATCTGCTTTATAGTTAATGGGACAACTTCTCCTTCTCTGATAACTACTTGTAACTCTCTAAAACCAACACTGAAAACTACAATGAAAACACCAATAAAGGTTGTCATTGACTAATGGCTTACCATCTTGATTGTCAACTCTTACTATTTGAGTGTCAGGATCTAGTCTAACTCTAGAATCACTAACACTGAGTCTCCATCTAAACAATTCTTGTAGCTCTACAATATTATCCCGTGGCATGAAGAATGTTACACGCTCAAAACGTTGACGAAGTACAACTTTATGGTGGACAGTAAAGTTAAAGAGATCTAAATCAAAGGAGTGAATAAATCATTAAAAATTTTAATTTAATACCAAAGTCTCCCACAGCAGCTTCATCTTCAGTCAATGGGCCAGTATACCTCTCAAGGGAGACAGTGACTTCAAAAGGAGCTTCATATTCAATACTTTGACGTCTAATGCCAACTACAGCATTACCACCTTCTAATAATGGTGGAAAGCATGTGCATAATCCTATTAGACCTACAGTAATTACTGAGAGTGAGAGATAATAAAAAATTAAAAGTTCAAAACAAATTGACTCACTGTCTATATCATCGATTGTAATGCTAAGACGTCTGTATACAAGTACAGCTCCTAAAGGTATTGGTTGTCTATACCAGCCAGTTGCAGCAGCAATTGTGTAATTAAATGAAAGAGTTGGTTGAAGAGCAACGGCATTCCCTTGTGATACATATTGCAGACTAAACCTTTCTGGAAGGAATCCAGTTTGTCCAGCAAAATCTGTGCTTAAGTAGTCTTCAACTGTAATCAGAAAAATAAATATAAATGAACAAAAATAATTATAATGATATATAAATTTTACCATCAACTAGAGTTGCTGGCTCTCGTGAAATAGTATAATCCAGATCAGTAACATCAGGAGCCCCAGGAGTACTGAGGAGTACATCAGCAGTAAATGAGTATCTTCTACCAGCATCACTTGGACCAATATGTACACGTGATTGATCAAAACCAATAACTAGTGAATAATGAATATAAAAATATCATATCTATCCTTACCAACACATGCACCACATTGATGTGCAGCTGAAGAATGAGATATATATCCTCCACCAGTTCTATTACAGCAGTCAATAGCTGCAAGACTGACTCCATTAGTATTACTGTTACAATCAGCAGCAGATGTGTAGCACTGTACAATTACATCCTCAGTTAATTGTTGCTTCACTGTACACAGCATACAAAAAGATTTGTGTATAAAAATTTTAACCAGCAAAATTGTTAAATGTTACGTGCCTTTTTTATTCCAATAAATTTACAGTATCCATTACGTTACATAGTTGGGGCTAATGCAAATGAGTAGCTAAATTCATTATTGATTACGAATTTTTATTATTGCAATATAAATTTTTGCGTACTGTCACTACAATGTATGAATCATGAAATAATGAATCACTTAATAAACATAAAAATAGGAAACACCAAATTTATTGAAATGGCTTGAACAGTTATAAAATCAAACCAATATTATCAATTATCCTGCTTAAGCTGGGCTCTGAATATGATGCATGCGCTTGTGTCATGACCAGAAGTGCTGTATAAACAAATGGGAGCATGTGTCAATGCATAAGATTAGAAAATTTTTCTAATCTAAAGCATTGACGCATACTTTCATTTGCTTATACAGCACTTTAGGTTGTGATGCTAGCACATTGTCAAGGATCACCGACAGAAGATAACGCTGAGTGGTCTTTAGTTTTAAAAAGATATTTTACTCAAAAATGAACAACAACAACTACAACAATCACACATATATATATCCATCATACATCCCATACTCAGCACTCAGCTCCCCTTCTCTCATTGGTCAGTGACTCGTTAGTCTCTTCAGACATTAACACCTGCTGAGGAAGTCTGCCTCTATGAGATATGTCTAGCTCATTAGTGATTGTTATCCCATGGTGATCCATTACACTTCCTCCTTCCTTCTCTGGCACTTTGTGCAGGGTATCATCTTCCAATCGAGATAAAGCATCAGCATTAGCGTTATCTCGTCCTTTCTTGTGTTCCACGACAAATGTATAAGGTTGAAGGATCAGACTCCATCTAGTCAAGCGACTGTTTTTCTCTCGGAATTGATGCAACCATTTCAAAGCTCTATGATCAGTCTGGATCACAAAAGGTCGTCCTAGTAGGTAAGCCTTAAAATGCTTCACTGCTAGTATAATTGCAAGACACTCCTTTTCTATTGTCGAGTACGCT